CCTCAGCTCACCCGGTGCCGGAGCACTGGCCTGTGGCCTCATCCTGGAGGACGTGCAGGCTCAGGATGGCGCCGTAGGCCGCAAAGCTCTCGTACAGCCACAGGCGGTCTGTGGCTGGCGGCAGGCCCGTCAGCGTCAGGGTCACGGGCCTGTCGCCCGGCCCCGGCCCGGACAGGCCCGGCACCCCGCCCCCGGCGCCGCCGGCCAGCGCGGCCCGCAGTAGCTGCCCGGCGTCCAGCAGTCCCGGCTGCAGCCCCGTCAGCGCGGACAGCGCAGACTGGAGGTCCGCGTGCGCGGCCCCGCCGAGGCCAGCGCCCAGCACTCCGGCGGTGGCGGCGGCGCCGGGGCCCAGCCCCGTGCCAGCGCGCGCGGGGTTGCGCCGCGCCAGGCGCGCGGCCTTCTCGGCGGCCGACTCGGCGTAGCGCACCACCAGCGACTGCAGGCTGCCGGCGGGCGTGGTGTTGTTCAGCGCGGCGATGGCGCGCTCGCTGTCGCGGCGGCTGGCCATGCGCACCAGCGCGGAGGCGCTGCGGAAGTGGTCCAGGCAGGGGAAGAGCTTGACGTCCTGCACGCCGCCGATGCCCTCAAACAGGGCCTGGACGTCGGACACCGTGGAGGCGGCGGGTAGGTGCTTGACATACACACTCTCTGAGGGGGTCAGGCCCGACACGGGGGAGGCGGCCGGCGGGCCAGCGTCGGCGTCGGCAAACTTCACCTGCAGCGTCTGGCCGTGAGTGGTGGTGGCGTCCAGGGCGTTGATGGCCGCCTGGGCGTCCTCAAAAGACTGGAAACGGACGAAGCCGTACCTGTGCATGGATGGCATCGGAGGGTGGGGCCTGGGAAGGCAGGCTTCCAAGGGACGCGAGCCAGGAATGCCTCACTCCCTTCCCTGCATATTAATTCCCAAAGCACAGGCGCCAGCATACACAGACAGCAGATGTCGACGCGACATTCAAGGCGGCCAGACATTCAACTACAATGGTGCCCGCAATGGGGGCCCGGAGGGCAGACAGACTGGGCCATCTCCCCTCCCACCCACCCACCCGCCATGACTCACCCAAGGCTGTGCTTGGTGACAGAGTGCCGCACCAGGCGAATGGATGTCAGGGTACCGTACTGCTGAAAGAGTGCGGTGATCTCCACCTCTCCCCAGGCCAGAGGCAGGCCTCGCACGAAGACATTGGGGTGGGCCATAGGCGGGTTGCTCCCCATCGAGGCCCCGACTGCCCTTGTCACCTGGCACATTGCAGCACACTTGAAGCCTCCTCAGTAGACCATGATAGTTATTAAAGGTAGAATCGCGCGAGAATGGAGCCCAGCACCCCTCGGAGCGAGTCGAAATCCTGTACTGCACCCTTCCCTACCCACCCGGTACGGGTCGGGATTGTGTGAAGTTCTATGCACGTGGCCGTCTCCGCCGCATAAATAGTATTTGTGGGAGTTAGATTAGTCGATGAAGAGGTGCAAATGGGAGCATGGGAGGGTAGAAGCAACAGGGGAGACGCCCGGGCCGGGAGTCCGTGGTAGTCTGATAAGGAGCAGACTGAGTGCCAAACGGAAGGCGGGGCGAGTCCCTGCCCCACAACAATAAGCACAATCGAGCTTTGAATGAGTATCAAGCAATTTCAAGGGCTGATTCGACTCCCACACAATGATTCTCCCGCCGTCGTTGACGGAGACGAGGTTGGCAGGGATTCCTCCCTCGTGTCGTCGCGTCACATTTGCCAAGTCCCCGGGGAGACGAGCCCGGAGCCCGCAGGGGGAAGGGTTCTGGGATTACTCCCAATGGATCAACACCATGCAAAATTCGAGATTGTGCATCTTCAATTAGATGTTGGATAAATGGGATACGCAGAATGATCTGCAGATCGCCTGCGCCCCGGCATGCAGGCTCGCGTCTAAAGCGTACGAGGGTAATGGGCACCATGCAAGGTACTCCTACGGAGCTCCTTTCCTGGTCATTGCAGATGTAAAACACCCCCTCGCAGATGATCGCTGTGAGATCTTTGTCGACCGATGGAGATGAGGTGTCGGTGACACTCAGTCCAACCTGCCCGAGCTGCACGCCAAATTTTCAAGCTGCAGCCGGAGGCTTGGCACTAGAGGTCTTTTTGACCGAAGATCAAGAGCGATACATGGCACACGTAGTGATAGGCCGGCACTCTGTGTCGCGAGCCTCGACATTCCAGGACACCTCATGTTAAGGGTTTCATAGGCAGGGGTTCAGCTTCCAAGCCGAGAGTTGCCCAACGAGCGTTTCTTCACGCTGAGCTGTCTGAATAAGGGTAAAGAAGAATTGACCGAAATTGGACGCTCCTCCCATCACTCGTGAATCCCGCAGCCACTGCACTGGGGGGGGGGCCATCAGCTCCAGATCTCACGCAGTTGGAAAAAAACGCGGAGCGCCCGGTTCCCTCCTGGATCCAGACGCAGCGCGTTACTGCTCACTCACGATTCCAGCATCGCTCGCGAATCGAACAGGAAGTATTTCCCAAGTAGATTGCATGGTATTTATCTGAACGGGGGTCTGACAAGGAAAGCCCCCAGGAAACCACATATCCCGCCTGCGAAGGCCGGCACTGAGTGAAGCCCTACCCATCTACAAGACCCGGCCGATCCCGTGGGGCATGAGTTCCAACACGGTTAGCATCATCAACAATGTCACTGTGTACCTGCCAGAGTGCGCTGTGCACGTGACGGCGGATAGCATCTCCTACACAGGCTCCCAGGAGTTCCAACCCACCACCTGGGAGTACTTCAAGGTGAGCGCCATCTGCACCACCCACGCAGGGAGCTGGCGTGACCCGGACTGAAAGAGTAGCCTTTCTTGCTCGTCTCGAGAGTATTCACCTCCCTATCTCACAGGGGTTTGTGCCGACGGTGCTCCCCGGTGTCATCCTCGGTGGCTTGGCCTTGATTGGACTGATCTTCTTCCTCGTATGGGTAGGCAGCGATGAAGTCCAGGCTTGGAGTGTTGGACCTCCTTCGGGCAGGGCGAGCGCGAGCCTTGTTCTGCGGGGCATCAGTCCCCTCCGGGGGACCCTGCGCGAGGCCATGGGACCCCAGGGAGGGACATGGGGAGGCTAGCATGCCACCAGGTTGACATCTACACACACACACACACACACACACACCGGCACCCTCCAGATCTGCGTCCAGGCATGCCGCCTGCGCAAGAAGCCCGACTCAGAGGCACACTCCGAGAAGGACCGGTTGACCGAGCCCTTCGCCATGGCCTCTGGCCCAGGGATGGAGCCCGGCAAGCATGCGCCCCGCCACGCCATCCTCTTCATCGTCTTCACGCTCCTCCTAGGCCTGGCGGTGGTTGGGGTGTCGGCGTGGGGGATGGCCCTCAGCATACAGAGCACGAAGGATCAGATCCCAGGGTTCTGGGCCGTGGTGGACGACATAAACTCCAATGTGAGTGGCGGTGGGACATGGTGTGTGCAATGCACCTGTTATGGGTTGCCGGGACAATCTGATGTCTTTATTTACCTCAAGTCTGGGAAGGGTAAAGGTGGAGGTTCCCGGCATTGTGCGCTTCTTGCGCTGGGGCCAGGACTGTTGTGTACGATTCAAGCCAGGAATCCATTTCCTTGGCCCGTCATGACGCAGGCAACCGCCATCCAGGGGTACTTGGCCAACATCAACTCGAGTGTGCTGGTCATTACGCCTGGCCTGAACGTCATCGTCGACGAGGCTGCGACTCGTAAGTGCCACTGATTTGCTCGGTGCATGAATAGACTGCTGCCACCATTTGCTGCCCATCCTGAGTGCTTCTGCCTGCACGCCTGCAGAAGGTGTGGTCCTGCAGCCCACACACCTACCACCTCCCCCCATCCACCCACCATGCAGTGGTCAGCCTGATTGCCGAAGAGGCCAACGTGACCGTCAGCACCAGTGACATCAGGAACACTGCACAGAGCCTGGTGACCGAGCTCGGCGAGGTAGGCAACTCTATCAGCAGCGTCACGTCCTTTGTTTATACGGATATCGTCCAGGTGAGTGAGTGCGTGTGGTTTGAGTGGGGAGCACCATGCCGCTGACTGCCACAGCTGCTTGGACAACATTGAGCCTTCTAAAAAGCAAAAGTGGGACATGGCCGGACAGACCCTGAACACATAGCAGAAGTACATGGATCCTGCTTCGAGTACCATTCATTTCCCACATGCCACATCAATCAATGCATTTTAAGAACTTTTATTCATTTCCTTTCCTCAAATCGACCCATCCCATCACTCTTGCAGCGGGTGACGAGACTGTACGGCAACAGTGTATGGACTGTGACGCAGAGGGTGCAACACACATATCGCTTCATCCCCATTGCCATTGTATTCGGCGTCGTCATCCTCCTCACGCTCATCCTGCTGTGGCTGGGAGCGCGGATGAAGTACCCCAAGACGACCTCATTTGTCGTCGCGCTGTACTGGACATCGGTCGCCCTGCTCATGTTCCTGGGAGTGGGTGAGGCGGAGGAAGCGGCAGGAGGCTGCTGTGCTAGCACTAGTGGATTTGGGCGGGCAAAGTTGTTTGCTGCTCTGCCCTTTTTGCCTTTTTCAATGGTGCGGCCTCATTCGATGCAAACCTACTTGGGCATGCTTTGCCATGAGTTTGGGGTCTGGATGGGCAACACTCCCCGTGCATGAGCGCTGTCCACTCACATCCACCCAACCTGCACCCACCCAGGCCTGCTCAACGGAATATTCGAGGTTGCAAATGATGCATGTCGCTACTCCGAGACGTATGCCCACGATCGTATACGCTCTTCAATGAGTTCAAGGAACCTCGGTCTGGTAGGTTGGTGCAGGGCGGCTTGTTCATACGGGGGCGATGCCTGTCTCCTGGATGCATGCCAGCAATCGAAGAGGCTGCCCAGGCAGCCCTGGAGCACGGTTCTGAATGGCACCCCCGCCCCGGCCTCCGACCCCTGTCACTGCAGTTTGATAGGGTGTGGTCGTACTACATCGTAAACACTCCTATCTCTGTGCCGTATGCTGACTACATCACCGGAGCACCGGTGCAGGAGGTCCTTGCCGCCCTGCAGGTGGGATGATGGTGGTGTGTGACAGGGAGCCGTGGTACACTGACAGCCGCCTCAAGGTCTCCTTCAGCAAAGCTGATCAGTGCGATTGCCTCTGGCTCATCCTCCTTCTTACACCACACCTCTCCCCACACAGACCAGCGACGTGGATGACATAATCCAAGCACTGTCCAGGCTTAACACCACGGTGATCCAGACCCAGACTGGGCTCAGCAGCTCGGACGCCGCGGCCGTCAGCACTGCCGTCCAGGCCATCCCCACGCTCCTCAAAAGCAGTGAGCCGGAGGCCAGAGCCCTGTGGAGTTGCGAGAGGTTCTCTGGTATCTTGCACCCTCGTCGCTGTCGTGCCAGGGCAGGGTGGCTATGCTTTGACAGTCACGCATGGTGTGCTCAACTGACACCCTGTCTGACTTGCCCCACTCCCCCTTACCCACAAGTCGTCGGCTTGGTGGCCAGCCTGTCGCGAGAGAATCTGCGCCCGATCTACCTGAACCTCAAGGTTCTCGCCTGCTGCACCATGGCCAACAAAGTACACAGCACCTGGGTTTCATGGACGGTGGCGGGGGTCCTCGCCTTTGTCTTTGCGCTGCTCCTCTCCGCGCGAGTCATCAGCCACACGGTCGTCACGGCCAGGCGGCGACGTGTGGAGGTGCGTGCTGGAAAGGGGCTGTACCGGGGACTGGAGGGTGGGCAGGTGGTCATGTCCTGTGGGGTGATTTCGGGTCACTCACGATAGCAGGCCTGCGCTCCCTGCACTGTGGAGCCCCCCCTTTGCGGGTCCCTTGACGAGCCAAGCCCGCTTAACCGGGTCCCCTCTCCTGACAGGAGGAGGAGATGCAGCGCGCGTTCATGACCTCCGTGGAGGCCTTTGACGCCTACCACGCGAGCATGCCACCTGGGCAGCCCGCTCCCTCCGCCCAGCCCCCACCCTCAGCTGGAGCCAACCATCCGAGCTCCGGTCTGGCATCACCCGAATCTTCGGACCCCAGTGCTCCACCAATGCCTCCCCCAGGACATGCGGGATATTATGATGGCCGCTACAACAGCTGATGTGCAGGCCCCTGTACGTGTGATCACGACTTCTGACGACGAGTGTCTCAGGATCGAGTCTTCGCCACCCTCAATGGCCGGTGCCCCCCATCACTGCCTGCTCGATTTGCTCATGTATACAGAGCTCTGCCGCCTCACACACATTGCCTCAAGCTGTGGCGTCTTAAATGGCTGTGTGCTGTCGCGAACAAGCCAGTGCAGTGGTGGGCATGCGGGTGGCAGGGGCGTCGGAGCATCGGAGTCCTCGCCACCTCCTGCCCCAGCTGTGGGCCTGGAGAGCCGGCCCACGCGATTGGGCCTGCCGATCCTGGGAAGGAGAGAGTATACCATGCCCCGAATTCATCGGGCAGGGGGGTTGAGAGTGTTGGGATGAAAGGGCGCATTATTGTTCCAAAGGATCAAGGAGAGGAGAGTGCACCTGCGACGGCACGGGTCGTCGGCCAGCCACCCCCATGTGACAGTCGCTGCTCCATGTCATGGGGGTGGCTGGACCCCCGTCACACCCTTGCCGGCGCCCGTGGAGAATCTAGGGGCTATGGCGTTGCTGCTGAAGCAGCTCTCCATGGGGGAGGGGGCCAGGCGGAAGGAGGCCTGCGGCACGCCAGGCAATGCCGCTGCGTCGCCAGACGGGATGCCCGAGGTGAAGGCGGGGCCGGCGCCGGGGTCCCCTGGCGCGGCCTGTGGGGGCGCGTCGAAGGGCGAGGATGGGAAGGAAGGACTGGCCCTGACCCGGACGCCGGGTGATTCGCCTTGCACGCCGGCAGCGGTGCCCGCCCCGCCGCCACTGCCTGCCGCGCCGCTGCTGCTGGCCGCCCCGCCGCTGCCGCTCCTCTCCTGCTGCTGCTGGCGGGAGGTGGCCGACTCCCCACCCTCGCTGGCGCGGGGGGGGGCGCTGGGCGCTTGCGGGGCGGGTGCCTCGGCGATCCCGCCCAGCACAGCCTGTCGCTCCTGCGCGGTGTGGCAGGTGTGTGGTGGGGGCCATATCAGCTACTGGGTGGGAGGGGCGCCAAACGGCCTGTACAGAGCAGGGCATGCAAGGATGGCACCCGCGGGCCCGGTCTGCACATCAGGCTTGCCCCTCAAAAGACCATCCGATTGAGTGCACAGGCTGACTGCATCCGCACGTCCCCCCTCCCCGCCCCCAATCCCACCCCACACTCACCGCTGACGCGGCCTCGGCGACCGCCTCCTCCGGCGAGGCGCTGCTGAGGTCCACGACGACGACCGTGACATTGTCCCGACTGCCCCGGTCCACCGCCGCGCGGGTCAGCACGGTGGCTGCCACTCTCGCCGCGCTCTGCCGATGCGGGGTGGGTTGAGGACGGCCTGAGTGTCCACGACGTCGCTGTCCGATTCTCCACCGCCCCTCCACACCCTGTTCCTCCGTGCTGCTCACACCCTGGGCCCCACCCCAGCACCCCGCCGTCTCGACACCCCACTCCCTGTGCCTCTCAAGGGCTCGCTGGCTCCCCCGTCGACACGGGGCATTCCCAGCACCAGGCACCCTCGCCTGCCTGCCACACCGCCGCCAAGCCCACCTGTCGGCTGCTGCCACGCTGGCGGGCGCGGAGGAGGCACTTTCGGGCCAGGGTGCAAGCCTCCTGGTTGCCCATCACGTCCCACAGCCCGTCGCTGGCCATGACCAGGAGCTCGTCTGCAGGGTGCCGGTGCACGATGGTGACCTGCGAGGGGAGTGGGAGTGGGTAGGTTTGTGTGTGCTCATCCTGTCACCGTGCACGGCCGCAGGGCTGTGGTCGCCACGGCCTCCACACACACGACCATCACAGGGTCCCTCACACGTGTGCAGCAGCCACGCGGTACCCAACCCCTCCCTGCCCCGATACACCCACACAGTGGAACCCGCCCACCTCCGGCTCGGCAATGACGTAGGGCCGCAGGCTGTGGTCGCCGATGGCGCGTGACACGGCCAGCAGGCCCATGACGCGGACGCCGTTCCAGAACAGGATCTGCCCGCCCGCGGCCTCCACGCGCGCGGTCTCGTCCTCCCGCGCCGCCTTGTGGTCGTCGGTCAGCGGCAGGGCCAGGCCATCCCGGCACAGCACCGCGCGCGAGTCGCCGGCGTTGGCCACGTACAGCATGCTGGCGCCGATGAGGACCACCACCGCAGTGGTGCCCACCAAGGCCAGGTGCTCATAGCCGCCCGCCCGTCCAAACTCGTCGTCCGTGAGGTGGAAGGCGCGGGTCAGCGCCGCCTCTACCGCCTCCCGCCCCACGCTCAGCGACAGCGGCGAGGCGCAGGGCGGGGAGGCGCCCTGCATCGCGGCCGCCGCTGCCGTCGAGGCGGCGGCCGCCGCCGCGGCCGCAGCCACCGCCGCGGCCTCCTCGGGGGGGACGAACCCCAGGGTCGAGCTGTCGTCGCTGCGCTCAGGCCCGGACCCGATCGTCGTGCCGGTGGTGGTGGTGCCGGCAGCGGACAGGGAGGCGGCGATGTCCAGGACGCTGGCGTCGGCAGAGGGGGCCGGCGGGGGCTTGACCTCGTCGGCGGCCTCGCCGGCGGCCGCGCCGCGCGGCAGCGCGGCCTCCAGGCCGCCATCGTCGCCGCGGAGCAGGGCCTCGTTGCCCTCGAACACCTCACGCACACGCGTGTGCAGCACGCGTGAGCAGTGCAGCGCGGCGTCGGCGCCGCCGTGGCCGTCGAAGACGCCGAAGAAGTGCAGCGTCTCGCGCACGGAGCTGCCGCTGGTGTCGCCGTCGGAGAGAGGGCCGGCAGGTCGGGGTCCTGACCCCCCGCTTGTCAGGCTGGAGTTCAAGGAGCCCTCCGCGCTGGCCCCCGACCCGGGCGAGGTCCGGGTGATCACCCGCGCCGAGCGCAGGAGGGGGGCCACGCGCGGCGGCAGCGACTCCTCCAGGCCCCCCGAGTCTACGACAACGGAGAGGAGGGAGGGCACCACGACGCAGGCATCCTCCATCTTGGACCTCCTCCCGATCACGGCCTTGCTGCCAAAGGGGGGGCAGGTGTTGTTGGCCCGCGCCGTGGGAGAGCCCTGGGGGGTGTCCCCGGAGGAGGCACGCCGCGCCGCCTGCTGCTGCTGCTGCTGGGCGGGCGACATGCTGACCGCCTGCTGCAGCCCTGGCGTGTGGGCATGCTGCTGCGTGCTGGCTTCCGACGCTGCAGATGTCGTGGGCGCGTCGCCCGACCGATGCGCGGGGGGGTCACGCCCCAGGCTTCTCCTTGCCGGTGAGAGCTGGGATCCTTGCAGTCGATCATCTGCAGGAGGGCGGGGTGGGGAGGGTGCATTTGATATGCAGGGCCTGGCAGCGGACAGGGGACGTTGGGCCAGGAGCCAGGGGCCGCACTGGACCAGCCTCGTCCTGTACGCGTCCACAATGAGGGTGGCCCTCGGGACAGCAGCGACTCCCTCACCTTGGCCCATGGAGTTCTGCTTCTTGAGGGGCTGCAGCTCCGCCCGACACTCCGGCACAGGCGAGCCTGACCGATGGCGCCGGGCAACCCGGCGTGGTGTCAGCGTGCCCGGGGGGAGGGGTTCTTCACCCCGAGAGACGTCCGCGGGCACCTCCACACCCGCACGCCTGATACCCGGAACCTTGTCTGCCGGTAATCCTACTCTCCTCCTACAACGCGGGAGAAAGGTGTGGATGCATGAGCCTGCATTCAAGCATGGGCGGCACCGGCTCCTGCCTCGAAGCTAGAGCGCGGGGGCCGGAGGCTGGGGAAATCAAGCAGCGTGACCCGCGACGCCGATGCAGAGGCCACAAGGATGAAAGTTTGAGGTCTGGCCCGAGCGGCGGACACAGGCTCACCGTGGAAGGCGGAAGATGCAGCACCACTGACGTTGGGGGGAGTGCTCAGCGGCCGGGACATGGCTTTTCCCCCGCCATTCTTGGGCCATAGAGCATCGAAATGGATGGATGGGGTTACTCGAGGTCCTCGGTCGGGTTCACAGGGCGCCTCATCATCGCTCACTGGGAAAGCTGAGCGGAGAGCTGTGGCATTGATCGACCCGGGAGGCACCCGTTGCGAAGGTCCTGTCGGAAAGACTGAGAGGGAACTTCCCAATTCCGACCGCCCTTTGAACAGTAACACTCTGCGGCAAGGATTGGGCGACCTAGATAGAAGCTCGGTATGGAGTCACCTCCGTCCTGATGGAAGCGTGTTCGCTGCAGCTCCACTTCTTTCAGAGCAGGAACGGGTTGGGGTCACGTGGCACTCAACCCTGCGCCCTCCCTGCTGCAGCTTCCGTACGATACACCGTCTGGCACCTCTGGTGTGCTCAGGCACACCCACATGCTCCTTTCAGACAGAGAGGCGTGGTGCCAAAACCTGATTGTCAGCCTGGATGAGGCACGGGGGGAGGGGAGTGTCCCGTGTTTACCTGGAGGCACCCTCCAAGCCAGACCCTTCCTGGCCAGGACTCACTCTCCGGGTCTCAAGCGCATTACAACCTCTAAGAAAGGTCAACAACGAGTTTTCTTTAGAGATTGCAAAGTTAGGGGCAGTCCTTGGCATATGTAGGGCGCAGATGTAGTGACCGGGGGGGGAGTGAAGCGGGGGGGGGGCGGTTCCTTGTGGGAGGGCAATGTGCCACAGACCGGCCTCCTCCAGCCGCCCTGCCCAGGCCTGAGAGCACTGGGGCCACGCAAATCCTCCCCACGCCACGAGTAATAGGAGCATGGACAAGGCAAAGCAGACAAACACGGGGAAAGAGGTCGTCTGGGGACGAAGAGTGCGGGGGTTGGGAGCTGGCAAACTCCATCGAGCTCCATGCGCGCACCGGGGCACGGAGGGGATGGGTCCAGCCCGGCAGTACATCCCAGCTCCAAGACGTAAAGCCAGGGTAATCGAACAGGGAAGGGGAGGAGGCAAGTAAATCAAATGTGGCTCGGTGTCTGGGGACACCTCGGGGCACGCTGCTCCCGCTTGTGCAGGGAGGAGGGGCAGCCTCAAGGGATGGCAGAGGCTCTTGCAGCACGTTGTGGGCGTGCTGATCGGCCTCCTTCCACAGGGCTCCCCGCCGGCTGGACCAGCAGGACTCAATTTCACGCTGAAAGGTGTGGTGCAACTCCCCTCACGCTCATTCGAGGGCGGCGAGGTGGTGCCACACCCCCTCGCCTGCAATGAGTGGAGGGGATCCACTCCCTCACGTCGACAGGCGCGGTTTCACGTCGCCAGGCAGCGCGACGACTGGGGGGCGGGGTGGGGGTTTGCGTCAGCGGATGGGTGCGGGCAGGGCAGGCTCGATGCGCCGGCCGCACGACCGTCCCGCACGCCGGAGGGGGGGATCCCAAGTTGTTCGCATGTCCGCCTGCCACCCGGACCCCTTCAGCTGGCGGGTGCGTGCAGGTGAGGAGCCCCAGGTTTCCTACCCCCCTCCTTCTTCCGACCACACCAGCAGCCCCCGAACCACGCGCGCGGCGCACCCCCCCAAAACCAACACACACACACACACACACACTCACTAGGCGCGAGGGCGGCGGCGGCAGAGTATGCGGCGGGGTCGCCCGCCAGCGCCTGCGCGCTGGGCATCAGCGCCTCCATGCCGGGCGGGAACTCGAGGTGCGCGGGCAGCACGCCGCCCGGCACCTGCATCAGCGCCTGCGCCGCCACGTGGGCCTGGGCCTGCATGGACCCGGGCGTGCCGCCGTCCCGTGCCCCGGCCGACATGCTCAGCGAGCGCGGCGCCTGCAGCAGAGGGGGGTTTGTTTGGGGTGACCGGCGTCAGACGGGCCGCCCAAGGTGCGGCAGAGCAGGGGCCACAACCCCATGACGGCCCATGCTGGTCGTTTGGCCGCCCTCTCGCAGCTCGTCGCGGCCAGACGCCCTCAAAC